GCCACTATCAAATAAATATAGAGATATAAATGAGCTTATTGAACTAGAAATAAACAGATGATTGAGACACAATGAAAACTGTTAGTAGCCTTAGTAGAAGAAGAAAACTCGAAAATTTATGTGTATTCGTATGGCAGTCTGTGGCTGTGCGCGTCTGACACTGTAAATTTGTGATGTAGATTATAGCCTAGTTGTCTGTATATTAGGAAAACATTATCAGACCAAGAAAAAGGCTAAAGCCTTACTATAATTAATGAATACGAATTATGTACTAAATCCAAAATTTTAAAGATAAATCACTGACAGACATTTCTCTATTTGGCTAGTATCAAATGTTTACATTTGCTGATATTGGGCTCTACTCTCTAGTCCTAGACAATACAATACAATACTGTTTATTTTAAAAATCTTATAAACAAAACGTGCAAAGCATAGCAACGTTTACAAGAAAGGACAAATCTAATGCGTGTTTTAAAAACATTACATATGTGAAAAGCCCATACACTGTGAAAAGCCCATAAAGGTCCACAAACGTTTGTTATAACACCGCGCTGATAATAACACGAGAGAGCACTGCGAGTAACGATTTGCTTGGTTTCTTGACTTGACTGTTGGTAAAAATGTAAGAATGTTCTTGTAAATTCAAAGCAAATAAAATAAACAAAAATTAGCAAGTATTTTGAACTCACTGGTATAATAGTTCGCAAAATTTATGTTTTTAACTGTTTGTAATTTGATACTTTCACCACACCCCCCTCGGGCAATCAATTTTGGACGAGGCACGTGACCAGCCGATACCAGGGTCTTTCCTAAAGTCCCTGGGAACGAGGTTGGTCTAGTGATCCACGAGTAACGCATCGACAAAAAGCCTATTCATCATAGATTCTAAAAATACAATTTTAACACTGGCCCAAATTCAAATCTCCGCTACACGAGCTTTGAAATTCAATAGAACACAAGATTCGAAAATGCATAATATTAACTTTCACGTCTTTTTCGATTATACACAGCGGGAAAAACCTGCTTAGTATGTCCAAGTACTGTCTAGTTATGCAAGAATGAGGCATCGACAGAAAGCCTTTTGATCGTAGATTCCAAAAATACAATATTCAGGCCGTGACAAATTCGAGTTTTGCTACAAGCGGCCTTGAAATTGAGTAGAACATAAAATTCGAAAGCGCATAGTATTAACTTTCACGTCTTTTTCCATTACACACTGGAAAAACATGCTTTTTATGTTCACGGATTGTCTAATTATGCACGAATGAGGCATCGGCAGAAAGCCTGTTGATCATAGATTCCAAAAATACAATTTTCAGACAGTGACAAATTCCAGTTTTGCTACAAGGGGCCTTGAAATTGAATGGAACATAAGATTCGAAAGCAAATAATATTAACTTTCACGTCTTTTTCGATTACACATGCAGCAAGAACAACTTGCTTTTTATGTCCATCAACAAGTCTTGCGATCCACGAGTAAGGCCTATTCATCATAGATTCCAAATATACAATTTTAAGACTGGCCCAAATTCAAATCTCTGCTACAGGAGCTTAGAAATTTAATAGAACACAATATTTCGAAAGCGCATAATATTAACTTTCACGTCTTTTTCGATTATACACATAGGGAAAAACTTGTTTAGTATGTCCAAGGAGTGGTTAAAATTGGACGAAAAATTAAGGCTATGGCCTTACTATTTGGTCGTTTTTTGCCTCATTTTCAAAAATGAAAAAGCGCCTAAAATTGGACGAAAAGTTAAGGCTATAGCCTTATTTTTGGTCGTTATTTTTCCTTTTTTTTTCAAAAATGAGATAAGTTGCCAAAAATGGACGAAAAGTTAAGGCCATAGCCTTATTTGTTTGTCATTTTTTACCACTTTTAAAAAACGAGATAAATGGCCAAAAATGGACGAAAAGTTAAGACATTTTGCTCGTTTTTTCCAACATTTCCAAAAATGAAAAAGTGGCTAAAATTGGACGAAAAGTTAAAGCTAGAGCATTATTTTTGGTCGTTTTTTGCCTCTTTTTCAACAATGAAATAAGTGGCCAAAAATGGACGAAAAGTTAAGGCCTTACTTTTTGCTCGTTTTTTCCAACATTTCCAAAAATAAAAAAGTGGCTAAAATTGGACGAAAGTTAAGGCTATAGCCTTATTTTGGGTCGTTTCTTGCCCCTTTTTCAAAAAGAGATAAGTGGCCAAAAATTGACGAAAAGTTAAGACTTTTTGCTCGTTTTTTCCAACATTTCCAAAATTGAAAAAGTGGCTAAAATTGGACGAAGAGTTAAGGCTATGGCCTTACTTTTTGGTCGTTTTTTGCCTGTTTTTCAAAAATGAAATAAGTAGCCAAAAACGGACGAAAAGTAAGGCTATAGTCTTAATTTTTTGTCAGTTTTGACCACTTTTTCAACAATGAAATAATTGGCCAAAAAGGGACGAAAAGTTAAGGTTATAGGCTTAATTTTTTGTCATTTTTTACCACTTTTTCAAAAATGAAAAAGTGGCTAAAATTGGACAAAAAGTTAAGGCTATAGCCTTACTTTTTGGACGTTTTTTGCCTCTTTTTCAAAAATGAAATAAGTCGCAAAAACGGACGAAAAGTAAGGCTATAGCCTTATTTTTGGTCGTTTTTTGCCTCTTTTTCAAAAATGAGATAAGTGGCCAAAAATGGAAGAAAAGTTAAGGCTATAGCCTTAACTCTTTTATCATTTTTGACCACTTTTTAGAAAATGAAAAGTGGCTAAAATTGGAAGAAAAGTTAAGGCTATAGCCTTACTTTTTTGTCATTTTTTACCACTTTTTACCACTTTGGACAAAAAGTTAAGGCTACAGCCTTACTTTTTGGACCTTTTTTTGCCTCTTTTTCAAAAATGAAATAAGTCGCAAAAACGGACGAAAAGTAAGGCTATAACCTTACTTTTTGGTCGTTTTTTCCAACATTTTCAAAAATGAAAAAGTGGCTAAAATTGGACGAAAAATTAAGGCTATAACCTTATTTTTGGTCGTTTTTTGCCTCGTTTTCAAAATGAGATAAGTGGCCAAAAATGGACGAAAATTTAAAGCTATAGCCTTACTTTTTCGTCGTTTTCCCCACATTTTCAAAAATGAAAAATCGATCATACAGCTGAAAAAACTAGTTTTTTATGTTGACGGACTCTCTAGTTAAGCAAGAATGAGGCATCTACAAAAAGCCTGTTAATCATAGATTGCAAGAATACAATTTTCAGACCGTGACAAATTTGAGTTTTGCTACAAGGGGCCTTGAAATTGAGTGGAAGATAAAATTCGAAAGCGCATATAATATTACCTTTCACGTTTTTTTCGATTACACACTGGAAAAACATGCTTTTTATGTTCACGGATTGTCTAGTTATGCGCGAATGAGGCATCGACAGAAAGCCTGTTGATCATGGATTCCAAAAATACAATTTTCAGACAGTGACAAATTCCAGTTTTGCTACAAGGGGCCTTGAAATTGAATGGAACATAAGATTCGAAAGCGCATAATATTAACTTTCACGTCTTTTTCGATTACACATGCAGCAAGAACAACTTGCTTTTTATGTCCATCAACAAGTCTTGCGATCCACGAGTAAGGCATCGACAGAAAGCCTATTCATCATAGATTCCAAATATACAATTTTAAGACTGGCCCAAATTCAAATCTCTGTTACAGGAGCTTTGAAATTCAATAGAACACAATATTTCGAAAGCTCATAATATTAACTTTCACGTCTTTTTCGATTATACACATAGGGAAAAACTTGTTTAGTATGTCCAAGGAGTGGTTAAAATTGGACGAAAAATTAAGGCTATGGCCTTATTTTTTGGTCGATTTTTTCCCTCATTTTCAAAAATGAGATAAGTGGCCAAATATGGACGAAAAGTTAAGGCTATAGGCTTACTTTTCGGTCGTTTTTTGCCTGTTTTACGAAAATGAAAGAAGTGGCCAAAAAACGGACGAAAAGTAAGGCTATAGGCTTACTTTTTTTATCATTTTTGACCACTTTTTCAACAATGAAATAAGTGGCTAAAATTGGACGAAAAGTTTAGGCTGTAGCCTTATTTTTGGTCGTTTTTTTCAACATTTTCAAAAATGAAATAAGTGGCCAAAAATGGACGAAAAGTAAGGCTGACGAATAGTAAGGCTATAAAAAGTAAGGCCTTACTTTTTGGTCGTTTTTTGCCTGTTTTTCAAAAATGAAATAAGTAGCCAAAAACGGACGAAAAGTAAGGCTATAGTCTTAATTTTTTGTCAGTTTTGACCACTTTTTCAACAATGAAATAATTGGCCAAAAAGGGACGAAAAGTTAAGGTTATAGCCTTACTTTTTTGTCATTTTTTACCACTTTTTCAAAAATGAAAAAGTGGCTAAAATTGGACGAAAAGTTAAGGTTGTAGCCTTATTTTTGGTCGTTTTTTCCAACATTTTCAAAAATGAAAACGTGGCTAAAATTGGACGAAAAGTTAAGGTTGTAGCCTTACTTTTTGGGCGTTTTTTTTCCTGTTTTTCAAAAATGAAATAAGTAGCCAAAAACGGACGAAAAGTAAGGCTATAGTAGTCTTAATTTTTTGTCAGTTTTGACCACTTTTTCAACAATGAAATAACTGGCCAAAAATGGACGAAAAGTTAAGGCTATAGCCTTACTTTTTTGTCATTTTTTACCACTTTTTCAAAAATAAAAAAATGAAAAAGTGGCTAAAAGTGAACGAAAAGTTAAGGCTATAGCCTTACTTTTTGGTCGTTTTTTTCCTGTTTTTCAAAAATGAAATAAGTGGCCCACAGGCCCCCAAAAACGGCTAATGCTATAGCCTTACTTTTTTTTCATTTTTTACCACTTTTTCAAAACTTGGTTTTTCAAAACAAAAAAAACTTGCTTTTTATGTCCACGGACTGTCTAGTTATGCACGAATGAGGCATCGACAGAAAGCCTATTGATCGTAGATTGCAAAAATACAATTTTTAGATCGGCGCAAATTCAAGTTTTTGCTACAAGTGGCCTTGAAATTCAATAGAACAAAAGGTTCGAAATAGCTATGTTATGCAAGAATGAGGCATCGACAGAAAGCCTATTGACGAATGACAGTACATTTACATTCCAAAAATACAATTTTTAGACCGGCGTAAATTCAAGTTCTTGCTAGAGCAAGGGAACACGTTAGAATAAGATTTGTTTTATTTTCCTGGAAAAAAGAAAAAAATAACAACGGCGCCTGACATTAAAATGCTTTTGATACAACCAGGAATCGAACCCAGCTTCACGTACTTGCAACACTTTGTCTTTACAACTAGACCATCTCGCCTACACATGCTTTTACTCGTTTTTATTGTACTTAACTCATTCTAGTCTCGGGTAGAATTTGTAAAAAACGATGCCCGACATTAAAATGGTTTTGACTACAACAGGAACCGATCCGTAGCACTGCCTCATCCGACACCAGGAAACTACCACTCAACTAGTAGATCTATACATTTGTGGAAAATAAACATAATCTGTACATAAACTGTCATCACCAAATTTTATTTTAAAAAATTTAAAAGGATGAAGAGAATCAAATGGCTGAATTTCTACTTTTTATTTGAAATATGGTGAATAAATGGATAATAATATGCAGAAATATAGTTATACTGTTATAGTTTGTATAATACCTGATTTGATAAAGTTTGTTTGGTTGGTTTTAGTTCTCTATGCCTCAGATTGATGTCCTGAATTCATTATCTTATATGTTCACATTCGTAAGGCTTCTCGTAATGTCTGAATGATAAGCTTTCTTTTCTTGCCAGCACAAAATCTGTTCTTAGAAAACATGTCACTTTCATAAAGCGTCGAAACATCATCCACGTTGATCTGTCTTGCCTGGAAAAGAAAACATTATATTCAGGTCATATTTACACCTTAGGCTTAGATTGAATCAATGGTTTGAAGAAAATTGACGAATTAAAAATCTGAGAGGATGCCTGTGGTCCCTCTTCGTGTTTCATCCATTCAAAATTTTTCAAATTTTGTACAACATATTTTGCTTGGAGTGATTCAGGGTAAAATTCGAAAATTTAATCAACATAGGAAGATGCTAGACATTTTCCAAATTAATTTGAGTGTACAGATGAAACTATCGATCCCATCTAACTAAACCATGTATGTCAGCACCCTCCATTTGACAAGTAAAATCATCTGTCATTAGACACAAGTAAAATAATAAAGCATGGTGCATTACCACTTTAACCCATTAAGTGCCAGCGCTCTCCCCTTGACGAGTAAAATCGTCTGGCGTTAGGCAGAGTAAAATACTAAAGTAGGGTGCAATGCGACTCAATGGGTTAACTAGAACATGGGCAGATAGGCTCTGTAGTTAACCCATTAAGCGCCAACGCTCTCCCCTTGACAAGTAAAATCGTCTTGCGTTAGACAGAGTAAAATACTAAAGTAGGGTGCATCAGGGTGCAATTATGCGACTCAATGGGTTAATAGAGTTAAAACAAGTGCATGGGCAGATTAACCCATTGAGTGTCAGCACTCTCCAATTGACAAGTAAAACCATCTGCCATCAGACAGAGTAAAATAAAAGAGTAGGGTCGTCTATTATCACTTAAACTTGACTTCCCTGGGCATAGCAAAGGGTGAACCACAGAAAATTTTTCAAAAATTCAAAACCCGCCTCAAACTAGTCCACAGTTTCTGAAAATTGTCGAAAACATTTCCTCTCTTCAAAACAATCACTTTTGATCAAATGAAACAAGTTTTAAAAACTTTTGGTCAAATGCAAAGGGCCACAGGGTCACAGGCCTTAAAATATCGGTCGGTCACGGACATTGTCCGACCCATTCGTGAAATTGTCCGACGTAGAAAGGAAACCACCGGACATTCTGTCCAACCAAGGTGAAACTGAGGTTTATTGTTTGTCCGACCCGAGTGTATTCGTGTCCGACCGAACTGTAGCTTTGTCCGGCGTAAATCAAAATGTACCCTAGCCCAGGACTAGAGGCTTGTATGTTAAATGGAAAATCAGAGTACGTATACTATTGTATAAAAGGTGAACTGGAAATGTTGTTTTAATTAACGTAGTACCGTCGAGCGTGGGGCGGCGAGCGAAATGGTGAAGTGGAAAACGGGCTTACGTTGTCGAAGTCTTTTTTTAATACTGCTGTTCTAGAAAGCAAGTTAATTTTGGCTTGGAAATAAGTATGAAAGGAACAAATTATTTAACATATCTTTACAACATTTACCATTTATTCATTTGTGTCATTCAGATTTCCGAGTCAAAACTGAACTGAAGGTCATCGGACAAATGTCCGACCCAAATTCAACGTCACCGGACATTTTGTCAGACGGCCCTGTAAAAGATATTTTAAGGCCTGTCAGGGTATTCTGGGCTTAGCAAAGGAGACCAGAGGAAATATTTCAAAAAAATCAAAAACTGCCTCAAACTAGTCCAAACTTTCTGAAAATTGTCGAAAACCTTTCCTCTCATCAAAAGAATTACTTTCGATCAATAAAAATATTTTAAAATTTTTTGGTCAAACGCAAGGGAGTATTAGACATATTTAATATAGCTTTTGGTTTTGTCACCACAATTTGTTTTTGAAAATGTCGGCTGTCATTGTCTGTGTTAAAAACACCTCAGAAAATTCCTATTTTCTCACCTTCCCATCCTTGGTTTATATTGAAAATAAATAGATTCTAGTACCATATATGTCCTTATAAATATATTTGAAGTAATTAAAAATTTGAAAGATGAACATGAGCATGAGTAGTGAGTGGCATATTTTGTCTCAGTGTTTTAGCATTTTTTTGGTCAGTTTTCAAGACTGAATTTATGGTACATGTGTAATTACAGTCAAATCACGTGTTCTGTTGCGGGCAACATTGACATGCAATATTGATCGGCTGATTCCTTTAGCAAATTGCAACTGACGCTAACAAATTGCAATTTTTACATTAAGCAACAGTATCAAACCGACGTCAACTGCGAAATTCAAAAGTTCATAATATGATTTGGATCCAAGTTTGTAAAATAAAGTCCGATTGGCTACTAGTAGAAAACAAGCCAATCCAATACTTGGCATCTGATAATTGCAAAGTTCTGTATGTAAAACTTGTAATTTGTTCGTGTTGGTTGCAATTTGCTTGAGCCATCAGCCGATCAATATTGCAATGTTGCCAGCAACAGAACATCAGATTTGACTGCATGTAAATACTTAAACCAACTTGTCTCGGTTCCTGCATGGGCAGTCCTCAAATTCTTCCAAACAAAAAGCATGGCATTGTTGTCTAACTCAGGTACCACCATAATGGGTCGTTCCAGAAAAGATCCACACTGTCCCCACGGAGGAAATTTCTGCCGTCCGGAGGGGGAGGGGAGGCAAAACTGTTTCTGATAATAGTAAATGAATTAAGACATCCGAAGGGGTAAGGGGGGTCAACTTCCAATTTCCTCTGTGGGGGTGGACTATGGATGTTTTCTGGAATGATCCAATGAACGCACATAAATTAACCGAACTGTTTCTATGAATTTTGTTTGAAAAACTGGTTTATAATACAATAAACTCTTCAAAAGCAATTTATTACCAGCATATAAAATGCCTGAAAAACTGTCAAAAACTTGGATAGATAGGGAGAGTGCTGTTGCTCAATGTGTTTAATAGCCAAGACTACTCATGTGTGTAGTTGTGTATACCTATAAAGCTGCATTGTGCCTTTATTATGCTCTATGTAGGACATATAACCCAGGCAAAATTGTGTGGTCCCCTTGCAAAAAGACCAAAAATTGCATGACATTATATTTTTATTTCTTGATTATGTAAATTTATGTCTTGTTATCAGTTCTGCTCATATTAACAATTAGGAGATTTGCATGTATTTACAGTGGCGTGCTGGCAGGGGGGCCGGGGGGCCACAGCCCCCCCAGCTGGCAATTCTTGGGGGGCGCAAAAATGAAAAGGGGGCGCCGTCCCGTGCGGAATTTTGAAAGTGGGTGGGAAAAAACGCATTTGAAAAAATATAGTTACTTCCGTCAAGAAGTATATATTTATATAAGCTTATAAACAGATCGAGACTAAGCGCATAGACAACAAAGTGATATATTAAATTACAGACTATTTGGTCTAACCGTATTGGCTAATTTGCTACTTCACGGCTCACACAAAATCGTTATATAGAAACATGATCAGTGATACACACAATCTCTCATTACCGGAATATTGGTCAGGTTTCGAAGCGATCACGGGAATTATGCCCTTTTTTGCTGGTATTATGCCCTTATATTATGAAGGAATTATGCTTCACGAATCACGAGAGCGGCGCAAATGAGATAGTTATGATAATGTAAGTTGTGTACGCAATTTAGTTGTTTGTGCAAGAAACATCATGACTCATGAGTAATGTAAGTGATAAAATAATGCTGAAACGCGCCCTTTTGGCAGTCAAGCAAGGTAACTTAAAGTGCATATGCGTGGGGTGTTATTTTATAAAAGAGCTGTATGTTGTAAATGTATTCAGATCACGAGATCAGTAGAGAATAGAAATGGGATTAGATTAATCGCTGGAACTGAGTTAGCATTGACCAATTTAAATACTACTACTAAATTCTAACCAAATTGCAAATTTCAACACGATATAATGCCGTTTCCTGACCATCAGATTTCTGTCAAACCTTCCCCCCAAAGTCCAGGAAATGGCATTTCAGAGACCCTAAATTCAAAAATTTTCCGAGGGGGCATGCCCCCGGCCCCCCTAGAGAAACCTCGCACCTGCGGCGCTCGGCTCGTGCCTTCGACACTCGTTTATCAAGCGTTACAATATAAGGGCGCATATTAGTTTTAAGTCCACTGCCCCAGAAAATTAGTACCCAGCACGCCACTGTGTATTTATAGGGGATTCCCGCAGATATAATGTAAACATTGCCCAAATTTTGCATCTTTCCATTTTCCCCGAGCCGACGGCGCGAAGCGCCGTGCGAGGGTACTAATTCCCCCCGGCTATTTACACCCGGGGAAACGAAAGCATTAGCGAAGTCTAAAGTTCATCAAATATCGCGGGCGTGGCTCACCAACGAAGTTTCGGTGGGTGGTCATCCTCACTGATCTCAAAATATGTGGCGGACTGTCATGAATAGCGAAAACTGATTGGTCCAATTTAAAGTTTGCATTATAACGATTAACGACTGCATGACGACAGCTAAATAGCAAACATTTCTTGATTTGATGATTGATAAATTTCTTGCAAATATCACAAATATATTTCATTTTCGCTCGCATTTTTGCAAGATTTTGTAAATTTCAAGAAAGAAAAGGCGAAAGAATCTGCTAAAAGAAGTGAGCCGACGTTAACGAAGGTAAGTTTGTTTTATATATTGATTTTATAATGGATTTAATTTAAAACCCGACGGCCTTTGCATATATGAAACAACTAAACAAGACAGCATATTATTTCAGTGTATCTTTAGTAATATTGATTCCCTTTTTATGATATTGAATTTTTTAAATAAAAAAGAAAGCAGAGTTATTTGCAAGCGAGAATTCGAAGTCATTTTATTGCAAACTCAAAGTTTATCGATAAAGCCATTTTAAAAGTCAGTTTAGTTTTATAAAGAACACTAGTGACTTTAAAACGTTTTGCGAAGCGTTTGTGGTTGAATTTTACCTTAAATTGAGGCATATATTACGTATAATAACATACCTAACATATATATGTTGGCAAATTAATAATTTTGTAATTAAAAGTGATATTTTTTAGGCGATTTTTCATTTGTAAGAATATTCTTAAAAAATTATCGTGTTACCATGACAACTACTTCAGATACTTCATGTTCGGAAAATACAATGGTTTTGTCTGTTTGTCAGCAAGGCGAGGGTTTCTGCATGCATGTATTTTCTAGTTTATATTAAATTGAAACGTAGAGTTTACATTCATTTACATGCATAGCGAACCAGAAAAGTGTTAGATGTTCAAGTTAGTATATCATATTTTACAAATATAGCAGTTCAAAATGTAAACAAAGCGTTGTAAACATATAAATTAATTTTAAAAAAATGTAAAATGGTGTTCCAAAGTCGTATAATATAAATAACAAAGAAAAATACTTTTAGGCATGTGATTTACCTAAAGATGCGAATTGGGTACCAACGAGATGTATAAAACAACGTTAGCCAAAAATTATTGTCTATACTGACTCTAGCAAAGTCTCGATTTTTTAAACTAAAAAATATTTAATATGAAAAAGTGATAACTCTTTAAAAACCTACCATTCTTTCATTCAAGCGTTGGCTCTTTATCCATTGTCGAATTTCCAGTAGAAGTTTTTAGAATCCAGTACAACGATGTAGCGAAATTTCCGGCCGTCTTTCACAACAAAATTTTAAAACATCACAGTAAGTCGATGACTGCACGTATTTTTCTCTTTACCACAGAATCGTTTTCCCTGTCCATCGAGTTATAATTTCCAAAACTAGCCAATCGTTAAAACGTAAAATAAGCGAGTATAACCGGCGCCGTCTTGTCTTCAACAAAACATTCCAAATTTTCCCGCCAAAAACTCTGAAGGTGAAAGTGAAGTCCCGTATGAAATGACGTCACAGGTAATTAAGCGCATGCGTCACAGGTGACATTAAAATATTTCAAAAATACCAAATACAACAAAATACACACTAAAATCCAATTTTAATTTTTTTCCACATATTGTTCCACCAAACCACGATAGCACAACACATTTTGCCCTCTAAACATTTTAAAATCAACGTATTATTTCATAATTTATAAAAATATGCTCTTCGGGCAAAGATCGGGAAAATCCGAAGTTGTCTGAGCACTGACCTGTATACAACACTGGATGTCTGATATTTTTCATTCGCTAATGCCAAGGAAGTCTAAGGGAAGGCTGTGGAAGGCCAAGGAACGCTAAGGAAGGCTAGGTATCAATGGTTTGGGTATTTCAGTTCTGCTTGTTCAGTTGTTCACACATCAAGATAGCGTCCAGATCTTCGAACAACTGGTTCAAACCACTTCGAATACGCTCGTGTTCCCAGATCCGCCATGTAAAGTGTAGTGAAATGTCAAATCTCATCGAAAGTGAAATCTCATCGTCATATTAAATACTAAGAAAACAAACTATTAAAAGCCTCTGCGGAGGAGAGAGACTTCGAACACAGGTGACGATGAAACCAGTTTCATTGGGCCAACCTGTTTAACAGGGTCTCACCTCCGCCACGCTCCCCAAGGTGAGACACTGGGATGTACCTTGCAACCCCCCTCTCCTATTCATTAATTAGGTTGAGCCACCCCCAGAAACTATTTGAAAACCCTGCCCCCATTTTTCAATCTAACCGGCCCGCCCTCTCTGGTAAACAATAAGTGTTCATCCTAAATGTAACTTTTGTGAGAGTATGTCATGAAAGTACAACTAGTATACTTTACAGTGGTCTGGGAATTCAACCCAGAAACGAACAAGTACTGTGTCTTCGCGATTTGCAAGACTAGATTACAAGACTAGACTTAATTTAATTGTTTTTGTTTGTGGAAACACCACGTAAATTTATTACTGCAAAGCTTTCGATCCGTAAGTCCGGATCTTCATCAGTGCTAATAATATGTCCCACATATTATTAGCACTGATGAAGATCCGGGCTTACGGATCGAAAGCTTTGCAGTAATAAATTTACGTGGCGTTTCCACAAACAAAAACAATTATGCTTGTGTGATGTTACTCTGAGTGTATATCCACACCGGCAGGCTTGAAAAATATGCCTGGCCACGGCGGGATCCCGGCGGGATTCACCTGAGTACATTACACCACCACAGCAGATTTCAAAAACAATTATATTTTATCGCTATGCAAACATTCAAAGAACTTATTAGACTTAATTTATTATCCACAACTTTGTATTTCAGCAAAATTGGGTTGTTCCAATAAAGATCAACCCTCCCCCTCAAGGAGGAAATTTGCAATGTCTGATTGATGAGAATGATTGACCCATTTGTAAATTACTTCTCCAATGCATTTTTGAGAAAATGACATGTGTTATGTAGATCTTGGAAACTACTTTATTAAAATTACTACAGAATATAAAGACACATGTACTCAGCGACGAACATAAAAATATACAACAGCTATATAATCTTTTTTCTCTACAGTACTAAATTCGTCCCGAACACGGACACTGTTTTTTGTTTAGGAATTTTTAGATATTTTGCCAAACGAAAAAATACGTAATCACCCGAGGAAAACCAGAGGATCTGGTGAAAAACCTTGGTGATTACGAGTCCGGATTCCGAAAACCCCGGGGACAACCCTGTGTGATCGAATTAACTATAGTAAGTATATACCTTACTTACCCATACCTACCAAAATCCAGAAAAGTAAAAATCTTTAAAAAAACTCAAAACAAAAATAAAAATCTCACGAGATGTTCAAAAAAAATTGTAGACCACCCGAAAATTTAGTCTACAGATTGCGCAAGACAAATATATCTCTTTTTATGAACAAATTGTTCCACTAAGGATATATTTGTCTCAACCTTGAAACCTCAAAATATTTCAGATATGTTCAGGACAAGGTGCGTGGCAAATGAATCCAATGACCCAACGTATTTTACAATAGTTTATAAAAGCTGTCAAGGACACTTGGATGCATTTTGAAGATGCGATGTGTGCATTTCTATATTTAGATTTTTTGCGCATTTTGCTTTTATCGCGCGCAAGTAAATTGCAACGCGCGCACTCAATTAAATTAGCATGCACTGGTTTTCATGCGCTTAATTATACTAAGCATGCAACTGGGCGCGTTTAATTTTATTATGCATGAAACTTTGCGCACTTTATTCTAATAACATGCACTTTAATTTGTTTAGTCTAGAATATATAGAGCACACGTCATTATTTGCACATGGAGTACACTCACTGACTGTACTCCGCGTTAGAGCAGCACGCGCGCGCCGCTTATGTTAATTAGCTGCGCACGACCATGGTGTTTTTATGATCCATGGTTCGATCAAGCTGATGTACAAACAATGCAAGACAACACAGAATGCAACATGGCAAACATTCTATATTGCTATTGCGACCATATATAAACTTGATCTGCAGAGTGTTTTCACGGCAGAAATGTTTGGGAACAAGTTAAAGTGCCGAAATACAAGTAAACAAGAAAACCATTATTTTAAAATACTTGTCCGTCAACAAAGCAACACGTGAAAACACCCTATTTTTCCTGGCGGTCGTTTTTAACTGAGTACTTATAGTACAATTTATAAAGCGTGCGCGCAATGCATTAGCAACCTAAAGAAACGAGCCTATTCTCCACTTTGGAGCGAGAACTGCGTTTCTTATCGTTAAGCCCCTAATCCAAGATATTTTAGGCAGAAAATGGTTTCTTTTTTGTTGTTGTTTTTTCTGCAACGAGTATTCTTGGACTAGTGTGGCTTAAATTCAAAGTGGCTTCGCGGTTTTCTTTTTTATTTTTCTCTTTTTCGCAATATTTCCTTTTTCCCCCACTTTGAATTAGTTCTGTAAGTACTTTTCAGCAGGAAAATAGATTCCATTTTCCTGTTGTGTTAAATACTTCTCAGAAAGTTACTGGCGCAAAAGTACGACGATAATGAATTATAGTATATACATGCCTTATAGTATGCACGCCTTATTTCAAGCTGCCTACCCTTCCTAACTAGAGCGCGCGCGCACATAACCGTTCAAAAACCTGCAAGGGAAACCCCCGAATGTGGAGTCTCGGTCATGCCCCAAGCTTAACTTAACCTAGTGTGCCGATCGCACCTGGTGAGCTTCCACAAACAGGGGTAAGGTTTGCATGCCTTATGGTAATGTCTTCCAACGTCGAGCCGCCATAACAGAGAGGGGACCTAATCTCTGGTAGCGAACTGTTTTCATAGTATCCGGGGCAGAAAACTAACGTTCGAAACCAGCGATATACATGCACAACGGGCGATTTATTATTCACTAACTAAAGCCAGACTATTTATCATTACAATGATTATGTCATTACAGTCCTAAGCTGATCTTTCTGTGGAAACCGGAGTACCCAAAGAGAATGCACATCTTCCAGAAAATTTTGTCCAAGAATGATCCACTACCGACGATATCCACCAATCTTCTTACGGGTACCATTTGCACCCTCTAAGCTATGGATACCATTTGCATCCAGTTTAGTTATCCTACCCAGGGAAAACTATGCCAGCTTTTCAACTAACAAAATTTTGGCTATACCCATACATTACGTACACAAATATACAGATCATGTAATGGATTAATGTTAAGGTTATAGGGTTAGATTTAACCCCAAGCCAAAGCCTAACACATTTCATGATATTTCTATACATTTATGAGCACAACATATTGATATAAACAAAATTTTAAAGTCTGACAAGGTTTTTCTTGTCTGCCTATATTCTGGATATGTACTTGCAGCGCGTAGCGTTATCCATGCACAGACACGGAGACACCTAAGCAGTACATTTACACAAAGAGAAGAACATCGGCACGAACAAATAGCTAGTGGGTCTCAGTACGAGTTACTAGAGTGAAAAAATAATGTTCACTCTTTTTTACTTTATGTAGTAGTTTTGTATTTGAAGTAATTAAATTACTCCAGGAAGTGCCAATATTTGAGATGTTGACAATCGTCTGGATTTAACACTTACTGAAACCCACTAATAACCGAACCAAGTGCATGCAAAGAACCACGTGACCGAAAGCTCAAATGTTGACCTCTTAAGATTGACTTTCGATTCCAGATGATGTCGAAATTCTGATTAAATGAGGTCAAATTAATTTACCTAATTTTTTATTAGCATGCAAGCATCCGAATAAAAATCAACCTTGCGTGCAAATGTACTACTAACGACAGACCGCCAGGAATTTTAAGCCGGTTAACCCAGAGACTTTGCAGACCGCATGCAAATTAGAGTCCTGGGTATGAATCCTACAGATATACTGCCTGTTAGCAGGCTAACTACTGCCTGATAGCAGGCTAACTACTGCCTGATAACAAGCTAATAACTGCTTGGTATCAGACTAAACCCTCTAACCTTGAGGCAGTCATCTCGTTGCAGTCGTGTAGCTTTCGTTGTGAAGGTACATTGGTAGGTAACCGTCGCTTGCGAGGTAATTTTATCCACAAATGTTCATAATAATCCATAAGTGTTCGTTGTAATCCATCAATGTTCACAATATATCCAATAGTACACAGTGTCACAGTAATCCGTATTTATCCAATGGTATCCGCTACGACGCCCGCTGGACCCTCCCATCCGACACCTCAAATGATGTTTTGGTCAGTTTTAAATTTTTTGGTCAATATTTTTAATACAATTATAGTATCTACGTGAAACACATAACTAGTCAAAAACCATGAAATTCTTGAAAGATTAAACCTCAAAGACTGTTTATATTAAAGATATTCAAGCCAAAAACCCCAAAGTCTGCATCAAAGTGATAACGGAAAAATGCTGGATAAAGCCATACAGACAAAAAGTCGGCCACAAATCAATGTTTGGTGGTACTTCGGCTTGCTCTTTCCAGGCCTACAGGCGAGCTGTCCCAATCTCATGCCACGAACAAAAAGCACAAACGCAAGGTTGGCCAGACCTTACATTTGCGCTAGTTGATCATGCATGACAATCGATCAGAGCAACTCAACTGTAGGTCGGGAAAGTCCGAGCCGACGATCACCGAACTTCGACGAATGGTCGACCACTCCTCTGGCATGATTTTACCTAGCATTTAAACCAAATACCAAAGTGATGTAAACTTCAAAATTTCATTTCAAATATCTTTCAAATAAACAAACTCCCAGATAGAAACTTCCGAATTTCAAACATTTTGATTTCGTTAAAGGCTTTTCACAAATACCAAGAAATGTAGAAAATTTGAATAAATAGCGAAATTAAGGAAAATGTGCCATATTTAAATTTGTTTTGTGCATTTGGGCGTCTTCAGGCTGGCCCCCTACGTACTTTCGAACACGCACAACGAGAATCACGAGGAAAATATACCTTCTGTAATGTACATTGTACAATTACATCTTCCACAATGGTATGGCGTATTGGTTATGGTATCTGGATGGTACATGGCGTCGACTATCGCTTGGCAGGTTGAACGATTGGCTGATCGAACGAAATCTGCCTTCGTTACTGTCCCTGGATGAGTGGCAATCTTCCGAACTTTGCACAAACGAAATCTGACAATGAATGCTGTGGGTTCGCAAAGGAATCGAGCTGGTGGCTGTTCTCATCTGTCCTTTGCCTTCTTGTCTTTCTCGTTTTGCTTCGACTGCTAGGCGAGCGCCTCTCCAAATCTGTGCAGAGATCTTTCTGTGGCTGTTTGCCATTAAAATGATCGACTTTGAGGCAGTCTAAAAAATTGGACAATGAATTTTAAACAACGAAGAGTTATTCAATGTCGTTATTAGGCTCAGATTCCAGCCGTTGTGTTCTCGCCACTCGCCCACTTAACAAGCCTATGTCGTTATCGAATTCAACATTTTAATTTTTAAGAATACGTTCATCTATGCATAAAATTAGGGCATGAACCACGAGGACATTTCATCTCTCAATTTCGTAAAAATATTGGACGAAATTCAACTTAGACAACCTCAAGAAACTCAAAAAGCTTAGCCTTCCCTCTCAAAGAACAATTTGTACATAAACGACTGGTTTGTGAAAGCTAAAATGTACGAAAATTATATAATACGCCTGCATGTGAAACTGAACATGACTAAAATAAGTCGGCAATTCGCTCGGTATAGACAAAAGTTTCACCAATATTGTAACTAAACTTGACTCAGAGTGTTCATAAGACTACAAAGCAATGCTAGAAGACGTTCTAGGTGTATTGGGGAAGCTTAAAAACGAGAAACAAACAAGAAGGAAACGCCTTTAATGGACGGCATTATGCTTACCAAGTGCTTTGGCATTCGACCATGTCGGCGACTTAAATCAATTCACTTTCTCTTCACATTTTCGGCCTGAAATTGCAGATAAATTAAATATGAGTTAAACGAATCAAAGCTGGTGTATTTCTGAACATTACTGCTGGGAAATTAGGGAGAAAAACTGAGAAAATCAAGCGACTGAGCGCTTGAATGCGAATCAAATTGAATATGTTACTACAATGAATGTAGACACGTGTTTTAAAAACAGCAATAGCTTAACAAGAACAACTCAAAAACGTTTAAAAAATAGCTTAATTTGATACTGACCTTTCCCTCTGCATGGCATAACGATTTTATTTCGACAACGTTTCATAAAAGCGACGTATTGAACTAACATAAATGTGTACTTTCCGTATAAACTTCGAGTCAGAATGACGGCTCAAAGCCTCGAGCAGAAATATTTAAATTTGCCACGAATGTGTAAACCACACCCTAGTTGCAATTTTTTACGAGCTCTGATTGGTTTAGCTTGCAAAAGCTTTGCTATCATTGGCTGCTGCTAAAAGCAAGCATTGGTGTGAACTCCCTTGGGGATTAAATACGGTCGCTTAGAATGTTTAATTATTTGAATATACTGTGTATACTGTAACTTGTTTACGTGTTTGAAGCTGGAATTTAATTATTTCAAAAGACTTTAAAATTGAGGCCTTTTAAGTTAGGTCTGCTGTGTTTATTGAATCATTGAACGAATTATTGCTGAACATGCTGATTGCTGAACGAATTACTTTATCTGCTTTTGTGTTGAAAACTACTGTACAGTGTGTATAAAAAAACCCCTGAATTTGAAAGGTCAAATTCAAATTAGCTATAACGTGTAGTAATTTGACAGCTCTAATTGCTTTGAATTAATGGTTGGGTAAGAACACAAGGTCTAGTACTCACAGGACAAAACTAAAAGAAATAAAAATGAGAACATTTATAAAAATACTGTATTTCTAAAGCTAAAGCTTATTAGTTGGTATAAATAAATCAGTCATTTACAAATGCAGAATGTTTTGTGGTAGCATGACCATGGATAATAAAATAAATGGATAGGACTCTAGCTGACGTAAGCAAAAACAACCTAGTTGCAATCTTTGACGTCACGCGTATTGCGAAGTTCTCGGCATTTTTGTTGTTTCGCTATTCTTTAATTCTGCTTTAAAAGAGTGATATTGAAGCATATACTGATCTAATTGTTTTAAAAAACATGCCTAAGCCACGACAAAGTATTCAAGGTAAATGTTTTTCGTCCTTGTTTTGTATTTTTTTACATTTGTAGCTACGAAATTGGCGTCCCCAATTTTAACGAAATTTGGGATGCTTTTTTCACTGTTTAGTGCTTGAAATATTCGCTATAATTGACTGGGAATACTTAGAGATTTCATTGTAGAATGGCGTAGTTATATTCATTTGCTCTTTGACTAAAATGTTCAGCTGCATTATTGCTAAACATGCCGTTTTTAAGAATTTGGTTTGCAACTAGGTTTCAACATCCAATCACGCCATCAGTTCATTGAAAACATTAGGTCACGTCAGCTAGTTTCCTATCCATTTATTTTATTATCCATGGTATGACATACTGTCAGTATCGAAGTTAGTGATACAAAGAAAACTTAGTTTACAAAGGAGTACACTATTTACAGTATATAATTGAAGAACTTTGGGTTTTAGTTAAACAGCCTATTGATTGTCAGCATTCTGTGCTTCAAGGCATTTAGATCTCTTTTTAAAACACAAAGAGATAAATTTCGATAATTTTATCAGTTTCTTTATCAGTAGATTTCATTATCTCAACTGGTAAACTGTGTTCGTTTAGATGTGTTTAATTGGTGGGATCACTTTCCAAATCATTTGAAAACATTTTCTCGAAGACTATACCATAGGTTTCACAGAAAGTTAGGAGAAATTATGTTCCGTTTCAACTTCTCCTGACAGGCAGACCTTGCATACTCGGTCTACTCGCGGACAATTTTCGTATCTGCCGAGTTCAATCATTACCACATGAAATTTTTCAAAAACTCGAAAACCACCTCAAACTAGTCCAAACGTTGTGAAAATTGTCGAAAACATTTCCTCTCATCAAAATAATTGCTATCGATCGTAGCCTGCAAACAGGCTCTCTTTGAACTCTCTTTGAACTCTCTTTGAAAGTTGAGCCTAGCTAGCCTAGCTAATAAAAACGCGTCTGTGCGTTGCTTAGAGCGACACAGGATTCCCATTGGTTGAAATTGAGTAGTTGCAGGTTATTAATTGCCATAACATAACATAACATAACATAACAATAACAATAACAATAACAATAACAATAACATAACAGAAACATAACATAACATTTATCAATTTATATATCGCGCGCCAGGTAATCAAATGACATTTATACAACAGAAACGATGTTTTCGCTGTATAAGAGAGTTTGGTAAATACAACGGCAACGTTCTTAAATCAACAATAGCATCTTTATATATTCTGAGACAAAGGCGACTATAATTTGCATTCTTGAGCATTCTACTACGCCGTCGTTGTTCAAACTCAAGTCGTTGCGGTGTTTATGTGAATTCACTTACTATTGCTACTTCAGGGAATTTCAGGGTTGTTTGAAAGAAAGACAAGTCCTCTTAAAAGTTTTCGCTCAAATACAAAAGTATAAGTAATTTTGTATTCTGTCGTCGCCTTTGCTGGTTGCCAAACCCACTAATGACACTAGTATTACCGACAGGCTATATATATATATATATATATATATATATATATATATATATATATATATATATATATATATATATATATATATATATATATATATATATATATATATATATGTATTACTATATATATATATTACTATATATATATATATATCTATTACTATTACGCTCCTTCACTTCGGTGTTGTTGAGCACTCTGCGGAGTTGTTAATGGGTGTCTATTAGCGATAATGCAAAGCTCACTTCCCTTGTGGTCGTTTGAGCACTCTGGCTCCATTACGCTCTGCGCATGTCTGGATGCGTTGAGTCAC